TCTGCAGATGCTTTGTAGGGGGGCAGATTGTGTCTGGGGTCTGCAGATGCTTTGTAGGGGGGCAGATTGTGTCTGGGGTCTGCAGATGCTTTGTAGGGGGGCAGATTGTGTCTGGGGTCTGCAGATGCTTTGTAGGGGGGCAGATTGTGTCTGGGGTCTGCAGATGCTTTGTAGGGGGGCAGATTGTGTCTGGGGTCTGCAGATGCTTTGTAGGGGGGCAGATTGTGTCTGGGGTGGGCAGATGCTTTGTAGGGGGGCAGATTGTGTCTGGGATCTGCAGATGCTTTGTAGGGGGGCAGATTGTGTCTGGGGTCTGCAGATGCTTTGTAGGGGGGCAGATTGTGTCTGGGGTCTGCAGATGCTTTGTAGGGGGGCAGATTGTGTCTGGGGTCTGCAGATGCTTTGTAGGGGGGCAGATTGTGTCTGGGGTGTGCAGATGCTTTGTAGGGGGGCAGATTGTGTCTGGGGTCTGCAGATGCTTTGTAGGGGGGCAGATTGTGTCTGGGGTCTGCAGATGCTTTGTAGGGGGGCAGATTGTGTCTGGGGGTCTGCTGATGCTTTGTAGGGGGGCAGATTGTGTCTGGGGGTCTGCTGATGCTTTGTAGGGGGGCAGATGATGTCTGGGGTCTGCAGATTGGTATTGTACGCTCAAAATACAACCCGTGGGTTGCCTCACTATAGGCGCCCTACCTTCACCTCTCCCCCTAAGATACATACAGTAAAAATATGGATAAGTATGAAAATAGCAAAATTCATTTCAATGTACATAAAAAAATACCGTATTTTGCGCTCCATAAGACGCACCGGACCGTGGGATGCAGGGAGGTCCGGCGCGCCTTATGGAGCGCTAGACAGACCGTAGCTTCCGTCAGAGAAGCTGCAGTTAGTGACCGCTGAGACAGGTGGCGCTGTGACTACACTGCGATTGCAGCGCCACGGTCTCAGTGATCGCACAGAGCAGAGGAAGACCCTCCGTCCTTCGTCTCCTCTATGGTGATCGCCGCCGCTCGGCTTTAATACGAGGGATCTCATTAGATCACTCGTATTAAACGAGCAGTAGCTCCTACTACTCGCCCGGCGCCCGAAACTGCATGTCTCGTGCGTCGGGATTCGCTCCATAAGACGCAGGCACATTTTCCCCCTCCTTTTTGGGGGGAAAAAAGTGCGTCTTAAGGAGCGAAATACGATAATTACATTTTTAGATTCAATTCATGAATTATACATCGCCTATCCGAGGATTAGAGTGCACATACACCCAGCGAGTACATTCATGTAGAAGTTCAGTCAATATACTTGTACTAGCGTGGTCATTGGTAAAATTCTAACTAGGAAGAACCTCAACGCGTTTCGCCGGTGGCTTCTTCAGGGGACCCGTATAAATTGATCGAACAATAAAGAGTTTGTTTGTTAATATATATATTATGATCACTTGAAATATTGTCATATAAGGTACACAACAATCAATACCAAATTTCATGAGTAACCTATTAAGATATACAAATGCAGATGAGCATTCCCAAAAGATATGATCACCCAGTACTCGCCATGCACATGCGCTGGGAGGGGCAAGACCGACGCTGGGAGGGGCAAGACCGACGCTGGGAGGGGCAAGACCGACGCTGGGAGGACAGAGGTGATGGGCGTATAGGAGAGCCTAACCATGGTATTGTTACGCTAACGCTGGGAGGGGCAAGACCGACGCTGGGAGGACAGAGGTGATGGGCGTATAGGAGAGCCTAACCATGGTATTGTTACGCTATCATTATGTCTAAGATCTGCCAGAGCCCCGACCCCCCCCCAATCCTTCCCAGTCACTGACCACCCTAGCTGTGCGCCCCCCAGAATGCCGCATACACTGCATTTAGACCCCCTCCCCCCAGGTGCATAACTTTACATGTGTCACCAGGGCTTGAAAAATTTTAGGGTGTCTCCCCAGTCAGTCAAAAATGTCACCAGTCGGCATGACCGGACTATCGGCCTGGCAATCTATGGTGACATTTTTGGGGACAGATCGAGCTTTCTTTTGGAGGAATATAATCACCACGGGGGAGGGGGGGTTACTATATAATGCAAAAAGTACCGGAAATGTAAAAAAATAAAAGTTTCCCTCCGTTCTGTTATAAAACATTTATCACCCATATTTTTTAGTAAAATATAAAAGTCGGGGTCACGTCGGGTAAATAGACACCAAACATGTCAAGCCTTAAAATTGTGTGCGCCCGCAATTTCGCAAAAAAACGCCTCCAGGCCCATAGGCGATGCTTAAAACGCGTTTACCGCTCATCAGTTTAGTGTTATCAGTGATTAATGGCTCTAAAATGATCGCTCTCACTCCGGCGTTCGCGGCGATATGTAACATGCGCGGCACAATAGGCGCAATCGTCGTTTTTGCACGTAGGCGCACCCGACGCATGTGGGGGGCGGGGACTTTAAAAAAAAAAAGATTTTTTAATGCTTTTTTGTGTTAACTTTTTTTTTATTTTTTTACACACAACTTTATTTCTATTACATGGGAGGGGCTAAGAAGCCCCCTATGTGATAGCCAATTTACATGACAGGTCCTCTTTATGGAGACATCAGGGGTCCCCAAGCCCCCCTGTCACCTAAGGACCTCCAGAGAAGCTGATGAAGCAGAGATCGGCTTCATCAGCTTCTGTAGCTGGAGAGTGACACTGAATGCAGGAAGTGATGTCATGTACAGGAAGTGATGTCATATAAATCACTTCCTGCATTGGGGGACCGGAGAGGAGATCAGAGGGAGATCGTGTGCTGAGCTCCCTTTGATCTCCTGTCACAGAGCCGTGCCGGCCGCATCGTGCACAGCGGGTCTCGGCAACGGCAGTGAAAGCGGGGGCTGTGTGGAGGAGGATGGTATTGAGGTGGGGGGTGGCGTGCGGCTCCACCGTCCTCTCGTCACAGACGAGTGGATTTTTCAAGCCCTGCGTATCATCATTAGACCTCCAGGGGCCACATAGTTTCCCAGTCATTCG